CTACCAAGGAGTCCCTTTTACCCTCTTGTTAATTATAGTGCGCATTGAGGACATTGAACAATTTTAAGTGTGGGGTTAGGAGATTGTTTGGGTGAGTTTCGGTGCTATTTTAGCTTAATTGTAGTACTCGTTCTTAGTGTAGCATTTTTGTTAAAAAAAAGGAAATATATATATATAATTGGACTTTTCCCGACGATGGATCTCCTAGACAGTTTTCTTGAGGGATTTAAGTCTAAAGAAAAAGGACAAAAAGATTTTCTTTGTAGGTAGTGTAGTAATTCCCGCTTAGTTTTTCTTTGTGCTGTGGTTCTTTTTCAAGGGTTTTGTTTAAACAGGGTGTAGTTAGTTTTATTTTTTTAGAAGTAGGAAACCTTGTGCTATGTTATGAATTGAAGAAATATCTCTTGACTTTGTTATGCCTTGAGAATAGTGAGTACTTTAGTTGTGACGGTTATTCTCAGTTTTTGACTTTTGTATAAGTACCTTAAATTGTATGATCTTAACTTTGCTTAACTTCTTTGACTAGAGTGTCTTGATGAGTCCAATCCTAAGTGAGTTATGTGCCATGTGTGTGTAAGGTTTTGTGTTATTCTATGCATTGCATTTGATGTCTAGAACTTGCCCCGTGTGTTTGCAAAGTGAAATAGTAGTTTTGTTCAGTCTTGGAAGTGATATAGGCGTTTCTTTGTTGAGCCATATATATATTTTACCCGCCTAATTATTATGTATCATAGTTAACCCCTTTGAGCCTATAATCCTGTGTCTTTGGCAACCACATTACAAGCCTTACCCATTTGTTTGAATTAACCACCTATTTGAACCTTTTCACCTCTCTTGAGTACTTGAATTGCTATGAACTTTGTAAAAGTTAAAGTATGGGGTGGTTGGTTTGGCTTTTGAGTGGAACTAATGAAATAAGGAGAAAGGTGCACTGTTTTGAAAAAAAATTAAGAGCAACTTGAATTGAAAAAAAAATAATAGTTGTATTGTTGTGAAAAATATTCTTTGATAGTGGTGACTTTTTGATGTAATTGTGCTTAAAGAAGTGGGGAGTTAATATATATTGATGTGAAGGTGGAGTTATGGTTTGACATAAGTATGGGGTTTAGATGTTAAATTGTATGTATTAAAGTGCTTAGTAAGGTGTAGTCACTCTTATATCTAAATGTATCCTACCCGTCCCACAGCCTACATTACAACCAAATAAAGTTCTACTTGATCCTAGACTGTGGCATATGAATGTTATTTCTAAGAGTGAGTGAATTCTTTCTATCTTGAGTTCCTAAGTGTTCTTAAATTTTATTGTGTGGAACTACTCTCTTTTGTTGTGTGAGGGCACTTGATTCATGAAGGAAAGGTAATTTCAGTGACCTCTATGTTAGAGTAAGTGGGTGAGTTGCGAATAATGCGCGGTACTTGTGAGTCCAATCTTGAGGTGAAGATGTTACACTCTTGTGCTTAGTCTATTTTAAATATTCTTGGTGTGATGAGTTAGGAGAATTGTTTTAAAAGGTCGTGTCTATATAAAGTGTAGTTCGATTGCTCCAGGACGAGAAATGGTTTAAGTGTGGGGTGTTGATGATAGGCTATAATTGCGTATTTTAGTCGCTTATTACACTCTAATTTACTGTACTTTAATTGAGTTTGAGCTTTAATCGCTAGTGTTTTGCACTAAATATGTGTTTTATGTCTCGTAGGAATGATTCCGATCTATGTAGGCGTTATGGAATGAATTCAAGTGATTTGGAGCTTTGAAGTCTGAGCAAAAGCCCAAGGAATTAAGTCGGGATCGTGTTCGGGGATCAACGGATGATAGTTAAGAACGAAAAGAAGAATCGAGCGGGCATACGGTGCATTTTCTAGTAAAATGCACATAATTTTTCGCTCAGAACTCCTTTTGGGCTCCATAATATATCGTTGGAAAGCTATTTGAAAGGGATACAACTTTCATGTTTTGTATTTTCGCAAATTCTCACTACCGAGCCGCACAGTGCGGTGCAGCATGCGCCGCGCCTTTGAAATTCTCCTGCAGTCTGTCAGAATCAGCTCTCTGAACTTCCCCACAAGCACACCGCATAGTGCGGCGCAGAGTGCGGCGCGCCTGTACAAATTTTACAGATCCAGAGTCCTATTTTGCGCAGGAAAAGGTGTTTCGTCTAGGCCTGACCCCACTTGGTATAAATACATATAAAAACGCTATTTTGAGGACTTTTGAGAGACTTTTGACCTAGGGAGAGCACAGAGCCGCCGTGGAGGTCGGGTTTCATCTTTTCTCCTACCAAGCTTACTAACTTTTATGTTTCTTTGTATGATTTGTTGTTTTGCTACCATGTCTATGTGGAGCTAAACTTCACATTCTAGGGTTGTGGTTCTTTCATGACTATTGTTATTCGAATATTGATTTTGATTTCTTGATTTATCGTATTAGTTTATTTCTTCAATCCTGCACTTAGTTATTTAACTGCTTGATCACCAATTTAATACTATCTACGAATCTAGAATAGAACTCGAAATTGGGAATTCTAGATTGCACATAGGATTGAGTGGAGCAAGTTCTTGAACCTGGGCATCGGAGAACGGATTCGCGGTTAGGATAGACATATACCTAATTGCCTTGCTTGGTTGATTTACAGGAATTATAAATGCGTTCTTGTTAGTTCTAATTCCATAGACATATAGGCGTTAGGTTAGCTTGAATAGGCGAGTAAGAACTCGACAGATTCTTATGAGCAATATTAACCCTGTCAACCAATAAACCAGATAAATTAGTTAGTCAATTCAATTGAAGAATACAATAGGAATGTTAGATAGCCCATAACCCTAGATCGTTTTCATCATATTGATAACATAAAAATCTGCTCTTCCTCTGTTCAAAGTTCATTATTTGTTTTTATTTATTATAATTAGTTTAGAATCAAATACTTCTAGTTTTAATTCTTGTTTAGATAGTTAGGATAGTCTAATTTAGTTAATAGTTAATCACAAGTCCTCGTAGGTTCGACATCAGACTTCTAGTCACTTTATTACTTGACGATCACGTATACTTGCATGTGCATTTGGCCGCATATTTATCTTTATAAAGCAGCCGAAAGGTTCAAAATATCACAGAGAACATGCATACATTGTTTACACTCACACAACGAAAGTCTAAAAAGTCAAAGATAATCAGCTATTCAGATATCGACTTTACTAGATACCAATATAGTATATAGTTGGTTGATGAGTTATATCAGGAAGAGTATTAAATAAACACTCATAGTTCGTTTTACCCTCATAGTTGAGTTTATAGAGTAATATGAGGAATCTGATTATGGAATATGACGATAAGATTTTGTCACTTCGCTACGAATTTTGGATGAAATTGAAAAATTATTTCATTTATTTTGTGACTATAAAATAACAGTCGTGTATTCCAATACCAATAGAAGTTTGATAAAGTCAAAGTACATTGACATAAAATTCCTAGATGTTAAAGAAAGAGTCGAAGTGGATAGGTGTCTATAGAACATATTAGTATAAACTCCATGGTTGTGGATCCACTTACTAAGCAACTACTACCTAAGGTCTTCATGAGCATACTGCTCATATGATGTCATGTCATTTAAGGATACTCAGTTTTAGTGGGAATTTATAACCTCTTAAATATTCTTTATAGATACAACTTAAGTTACAGTTTAGGGTTTCAGTTTATGATTTCAGTTTAAGGATACTTGGAGTTATTTCTGCAGAAATAAAGTATTCTGTTTATTTTTTACTCTGACTTATTTTTCAGTTTGACCAATTGGGAATAGGCATGCTTGGATCACATTACATATAATTTTTATTCTACACATTCATACTTGATCTATGTCATTTGGTTGTGTTAGTATTCATGATCACGGAAGGTTTAGCTACGATAAATATAACAAAAGTCGACTTGATCCAATATTGGCATGACTGCTGAATGAAATTGTTTTGAGGTACTTCGGATTATGACAGCTAATATTTTGAGCTTATAAGGTGACATACAATTATAAGGTTATATATATGTATATGTGTGTAATCCAAGTGGGAGATTTTTTGAATTTTTTTATGGACTTTCACATATATTGCATTAAGCATAATTGTATGTTGATCGTTACCATTATAAGGTATTGGCCAAAATTAAAGTGATCTACTAAGTCTTAAAGTTAATTGGGCTCAAAAGACACACTCATAAAACATAGGATCTTATGTGTAGATACCCGAATGTAATTTCTAATTTAATAATGGGTTAAATTAGAAATACATAAATTATGTGAAACTATAATTAGGATTATGGTCCCCAAATTAAACATAGAGTTTTCTTTCTAGTATTCTATCATTGGAAAGAAGATAACGACTTACGTCTTAGTTTAGAAGACCAGTAACGTACAAGACGACAAGTTTCTATCTGTTCTCATGGATTCATGTATATTTCAACATCTAGTTTTACTTTTTTGATAATTTGACATGATAGATCTAGGGAGAAGATGATGGTCGTGTTCATCTTTAAAGTTTTGGTCTACCACATGTGTCTCCATACATGTGTTAATGGTTAGCATAAAAGCTGGACTCGATACATTTGCTAAGGAAAGTCTAATTTTTCCTGATCATCAGATTCATATGTGGGTCAACTCTACGTCTCTATTACCGGAAAAGATGTTTGGGACTATAAACTGAATTCTGCATGTGAAGTAATTTTCACGTTACAAGAAAAGTTGGTTGTCACTGTGGCTACAAATTCGAATAATCAGCTGAATTATTTTTCAAGATCGCGTTGTAATAGTTAGTTCAGTATTCTGCAATAACACAGGAGCAGTCCTAAAATTATTGATTAACTATTTGTCTGCGATTTACAGTTGCATGCTCCATGAAAAAGACTACTGATAGTCTTACAGAACCAAGTATATGAGCTCGTTAGCTAATCAGTAGGGTTGTCCATGGCTAAGTAGTTGATACCAAATCATAGTGGTGGCATGAGAAATCTCAAACAAAAATCATACAACTAAAGGGTGACAACAAAACCTTTCATTACATAATTCATGCATTATTATTCCATACAACAGATAAAGTGACATGATGATGTAAATATTCTTCACTAACGATAGTATATATAACTTAACTCATAGAATAATACAAGGAGTGTATTAAATTATTGCACGAGTAGCTATTCAAGATGCATAATACATAGAAACCAGACACTAAATAAAGCAATATCAAATTATATGCCATGATTATTGCATCTAATACATGTAACAATTCAAACAGATTCGATTTCCGTTGTTGTCATCTCAGTTTCTGAACTTTTATTCTTATTCTTCTGCTTCTTCATTTGTCTGAATTCTCCATAGAAGTATGAGACGAAACCCCAAAGAGAGAGGAAAAGAGAAACGCCCTTTTCACCTGAAAACTTTTCACTAAAGAAAACTATAGCCAATACCTCAGTAACAGGGAGTAAAACTGCTATTATAACCCCTGACATCAAAGCAGAAGAACAATAGATAACTCCAACAGCGCCCACAAAGAAACATTGCCAAAGAACGGCAGTCCATGTTACCACTGTATAATATCTAGCTTCTCCGAGGTTAAATTGTTTTGCCTCCCTTGATATTGCCTGCAAATTTTAGTCAATATTTTAATCCTTGATCTTTATAGAAAATCTCTAAGCCTATAATAAAAATAGTATTCCTTTGTTCCAACTTATGTAGGAAATATCAATATTTGGGGAGTCAAAGAGGTTCTTATTTACATTAGATATAGAATTCAAATATGTAAATTTTATTTTTAAAACATAAAAATTATATTAGTCGCTGATCTTATAAGAGAATCTCTAAAATAAATACAAAAATAAAAAAAGCAGTAGTATCTAAGATTCATTATTTTTATCTACTTCTGACAAAAGCAAATTTAATACAAGTACGAAAAAAAGGTCTCACTCAGCCCAAACCTATGATATTGATATTTTCCAACTTAGAGAAATGTATTCCATGACAAAAGAGTCTCCATCCCTCTAAGTGAGATATGAATAAAATTGGGTGAGCAATATTAAGTTCCTTCATTAAAGTCAACTCGCGACCCACAAGCTTCTGTTCTCTCTCTTGTCATTAGCGTTAGAAAACTTTATTGGAAATAAGATAATTAAGAATAAAGAAAAGGAAAAGGAAAAACACTGCCAAAGAAATTCATAAAAAAAACATATTGAGTTGGTGAACCCCAATATATCACTGAGGAAGTAGTTGATAGATTTGAGGGAATCACAGGATCTAAGAATACCATAAAAGAGCACTATGTTAATATGCATGCCTCAAAACAAATTAAAAGGGAGAGAATTTAGAGATGGCAAACAAAACGGGCAAGTTTAAAGAAAAATGTTACTCTACTCTCTGTTATATTTTATAATACATGATGCGTAATTTAAAAAAGCAATAAATACTTTTTAATTATAGTCTTAAATATGCCATAATTTATACGACTATAAGAGCGCTTATCATTAATATATTAACAGAAAAATGAGAAGTTTAAATTAATTTATTTTTAAACTAAGAAAGATCATTCTTTATAACGAACTAATAAAGAAAACATTGTCACTCTATTAAGAATGGATAAGTATGGGGACGGAAAGGGGTGCGTTAAAAAGATACCTGAAAGTCCTTATTGGCGATCATTCCGATCGTGCAAAAAGCAGTAGCAGCAAAACACATGACCATCTGGATCTCCAATACCAACGTAGCAGTAATAGCTTGTTTTGCCTTCATGTAAATCAACTCAATACTAGGCAAAATGACTCCATAGAAAGCTGCTGCCAGAAGTGTCATTATAAAACCAATAACATAGGCTTTACTTGTCACACCCGCTGGCTTATCACCATTAGATCGAATACCCAATAAAACAGCACCAACTGTTAGTAGAATCACTGCATTAATAGAGTAGGGTGTGAACTTCAGCTTCACTATGAAAAAAGCACCTACTGCTGTGAAGCCAAGTTGAGCAGCAAGAAGAAGTGAAGAGGTTGATACGGGTAGCTTTGACCCGCCCCACGAATAGAGAAAATCATCAATACCAGTGCCAACGCCAAGGACACATGATGCAATGAAAATCTGGGGTGTTATTAAGCAAAGCTTGGCATCAGCACCCTCAGACTTTCGACGATAAAAATATAAGATGGCAAGAGGTATAAGGGTTAGTGGCCATCCACCAGTTTGTAACCAACTGCTAAACCATATTCTTGAACCTCCCCCGACATAATATAGACGCATCATTAGAGGACCACCACAAACACCAACAGCGAGTATTAAACAGTTAATCAGCAGGAGGATTCTCCTCATATTGGTGCTTAGTCCTTTGTCTTCCATATTTTTTTTCTCAAGAGATTTGGATATACTAGCTAGGTTGGAGTTCTGCAGCTCAGGTTGCCGCTGAATGGTTTTTCTCCAAAGACAGAGATTTTTGGACCCTCTTGCAGTGAAGAGATGTGCTTGAGTTGAGCATAGAAGCCTCCTATTTATAGTTGACAAAAATCTTAGTCCATTGCGACAATTGGTTTCACAACTTGGAGTGGCGCCTACTGTAAGGAGGTCACTCTTGAATTGTACTATAGTGAAAAATATAATGCACAGTTGTATACTAGCTAAATATCTATACTGTATAGCTGTGCCATATATTCAGGCTTAATCATGTAATGTTATAAACCAACAACAACAATTACGTCTTGTTGAATAATCATTATTATCCATGTTGATACATGTAATCAATTCTTTCTTTTTTCTGTTTAAGTGAATGTGTATATAATCAAAGTAATTGGAGTGCTTGAGGGCCCAGCTAATCGTCTAAGTACTATTTCTATTGTATGCCCTTTTTCTCCTTACTCTGAGAAGATGACATGGTATAAATCAACTACTACAAATATTGTATAGATAAAAATACCCTCTTCTTGTCCCTTACAGTGAGAAGGTGATAAGGATTAAATCAACAACTACAACTAGATAATAATAATCTTGGAATTTTCCTTTCTAACAGATTAATAACATAAAAATCCCAAAGAATGACGATGCATTTCCCATATATTTTGACATTTCATTCTTGGAAGTGTGCAATGAGTTGCTTGGAGAAACGTGGGTTTTATTAGTTAAATCTGTTTAATAAACAATAAGGAGGGCAGATTTAACTAAGGATTTTGATAGTTGAAAGTTGAAACAGGCCACCCATATATGTCAGCAATTAAAAATCTTCTCTTATAGGTCAAGAACAGCTGCACATATTTATGAGGACAATTACGACGGAAGAGATATTGAAAAACAATACTCACTTCGGCGCTTTGCTAGAATAAATTTCTCCTTTCAGCACTAATGAATAGAGTAGTCCACTTGCTTAAACGAATTGTTCATTTTTCAAATAAATCAACAAGTGACTCTAGCAAGGAAAAGAAAAGGAAGTTTGATTTAAAACTTGAGATTTTTTTTTTTCGAATTAAGTCTAAATTAAATTTTTTGTTTAGTGTGTCATGGTCTAGTTAGCTGTCTTGTTAGACAATTTTTTGGAAAATTAGAAGTGCTTCTATTTCTTTCTTTTAACGAAGGGAATATTCTTATCTAATATAAAGAGTTAAGGTGTTTGGCTTAACTTCGAGAAAAGAATTAAGCGATTTGAATAGTAAAAAAATGATCACTACTAAAAACGTTTTTTTCCGACTGAAAAAAACCGACCGAACACGATGGGTTTTAAAGGATTATCGACCAAAAATGGTGGGTCGGAAAAACTCTGGACGGCGTCAAAACTGACCGAATTGGTCGGTAAAAACCGATCGATGTAGTGAAAAGATTAAATTTTTTAAAAATTAACAAATGAATTCGGCCGGTTTTTCACGCAATTATTAAATGCACCATCCGGGAATCAAACCAAGGTTTGTACCGTGGTGAGATACTATTCTATCACTATTTCATTGATGCTTATTGGTCTAACACTTTTGTATTTCTTATTTATACTTTTCAACTTTATTTTTTCACGAAAATAACCGATCGAGTCGATTGATTATCCTTTAAAATCGAATTACTGATTGTGTCGATCGATAATTCGGCCAGTTTTTTAAAATGAGTTGACCAAGAAAATGACAAAAATTGAATATATTTTTCTATTTTATTCAAATGGAAAACCAACTGAATCGGTCGGTTTCTTGAAAAAATAATTTTTTCGATAAATATTAGTGATTGACTCAGTTGAAAAATAATGGGTATTATCACTTTTAGCCCGCGCCAGAAACTATTTATATTTGGTAGCCGAAAAAGTGTATAACATTTGTATAACTTCGGAATTTGTGACAAGCACAACTAGTGTTTCTGACAAATTTTTATAACTTCGGAAGTTTCTGACAAGCACATACTATATTCTGTTCAAAGCTCAATAATATTTTATCTTCTTACTTATTGATATTGTTACTACTGCTCTGGAAGCTCTGCTCCCGGAACTAGGATTTATGCTATCTTATCTCAATTTCAGTGCTAAGTTTTACATTCTTGTTCAATTCATTTATCATTTTGGGATCAAATCGATTCACTTGTCTGTAAACCACGTATAAATTCAACTGTACCGTTTTATGGGCAAACAGTTTGGCACCCTCCGTGGGGCATAGACAATTGTGTATTTGAGTTGATCCTTGCATCTATTACTAACCTATTTGATTTTTTGTTCTTCGCAAAAATTATAGTAAATGGCAGATAACAATGTCAACATCGCACACAATGTTGAGGCCCAAGGATATCAACCTTAGCACGAAGATTCTATCAGTGATACCCGCAACGAGGGGGATGAGGCTACGCCGGTCCATGGCGGGCAGTATTCGCTTCACGTTCGAGAGGCTACTCCTTATGATGTTGAAGAAGAGCACATCGCTGAAACGGATCCTAAGGGAGCAACAAAAGGATATTATGGTTCATCTCTCACGACAAGATAAGGTCATGACGGAGTTGAGGCATGCGTTGTCGGGTGCTTCCAACAACGTGAATGGACAAGGTCCGGTTCCTCCCAGTGCTCCCGCAAATCAAACAATGCAGAGGGTCGACAACAACACCCCGAGGGGCGAATTCGGCTTTGACCGGGCCGGGGGGAACGATCGCGGATCTGGTAACAACAATGAGAATGGTCCCTTTAAAACCAAACTCATGTGGTTTATGAGGGAAAGAAACGCCCAAATGGATCAAATTTGGGCGCGCCACCAGAGTTAAAAGGGTCGGACTCAAAGAAGTATACCTAATTGTCGTTCAAACCAAGCTCGGCACCACATCTGATCCCGAAGCGGTTCAAAATGCCAGACGTGCTGAAGTATGATAGGACTTCGGACCCGTAGGAGCACATCACCACCTATACAATAGCGCTGAAAGGAAACGATTTAGCTCCGTACGAAATTGAGTCAGTCTTACTGAAGAAATTCGGGGAGATCCTCACAAAGGGAGTCCTGACATGGTATTCTCTATTACCCGAGCATTCAATAGATTCCTTTGATATGCTCGCAGATTCTTTTATCAAGGCCTACGCCGGGGCCACAAAGGTACAGGTCCGAAAGGCCGACATATCCAGGATTGCACAAGGAGAGTCCGAATTGTTGCGGGAGTTCGTGACCAGATTCCAGTAAGAAAGAATGATGCTCCTGGTCGTACCAGACGAATGGGCAGGTGAAGCATTTACTAAAAGGCTGAACCCGAGAAGTTTTGATGCGGAAATTGAAAGAAAGTTTGCTCGAGTTCAAGGCAACAACATGGGTGGATTTTCACAACTGGTACGAGTCGAAGATAAGAATTGAGGATGATCAGCTCAGTTTCTCGGCATCAACCAAGGGTTGGGACTGGGAGAAAAATAAGTATAAATCAAAGGAAGATTTCGACACAGATCGACAGTCTTCAAGGGGTCAGTTTTTGCCCTATGAACGGGACGAAGGACGTGGCAGAGGTTTTCGATCAACAGATAGATTCGCTACCGATAAGAGAGTTGATCACGGCTGGAATAACAGGTCATTCCATGACAAGGAAATATCATATTCTCGAGATTCCTCCTACCTCAGGCTCTCCGAATATAACTTTAACGTTAGCATAGTGGAGCTGGTGTCGGCTATGAGGAACATTAAGGAAGTACGGTTCCCGAAACCAATGAGATTCGATCCCTGTTAGAGAGATCTTAATTTGTGGTGCCAATACCATGGGACCAATGGTCACCGGACTGGGGACTACCGGCATTTGCGGGAGGAGGTGGCGACATTGCTGAAAAATATCCATCTCAGAGATTTCTTGAGTGATCGGGCTAAAAACAATTACGGCCATAATCGCGATCGTAATCGTGACAACGCGAAACCTTCAAAAACAGGAGAAGATCCTCCACGTTTGACTATCAACATGATTTTGGGGGAAACGAGATTAATGGTGTGACTTTTCCAGCGACAAAGAAGACGAAGGTATCAGTAACCCACAATAACAGACTCCGGGATGTCGCTGAGGACGACATTACTTTCACGGAGGAAGACGCAGATGGACTATTGTTTCCGTACAACGATGCCTTGGTAATATCTTTAAATGTCTTAAATTTTAAAACTGGACGTGTTTTGGTGGACCCACGAATTTCGGCCAATATTATCCAGTGAAGAGTGCTGGAGCAAGCTAAGTTGATCGAAAGTATAATTCCGGCCACAAAACTCATTGCCGGGTTCAATATGGCAAGTGTGACAACCTGAGGAGAATCATGCTGCCCACGAATGCCGAGGGAGTGATGAAGACGACCCTCATCGAGTTAGTAGACGGTGATATGGTCTATAATATTATCCTGGGGAGACCGTGGTTGCACGAGATGAAGGCAGTACCATCAACATATCATCAATTACTGAAATTCCCCACTCCAGAGGAAATTAAACAAATAAGAGGTGACCAAGCGGCAGCAAGGATATGAACGCAATCTCAGTTTCCGGTAGCAAAGGGAAGAAGTATGTAGGATAGAAATTACAGGAACCGACACCTGCTCTCGAGCCGAGCGAAGCCAACCAGGGGGAGGAGGAGTCGGAATCCTATCAGGTACCAAGATATTTCCAGGTACCAGAAGAAACGGACGCAACAAAGTCTGCAGCGGAAGAACTTGAGCAAGTTGCGTTGTTCAAAAAGTTCTTAGAGAGGAAGTTCCACTTGGGGATAGAACTAAACCCCGAGCTCAGGTCTAGATTTATTGAATTTCTTAAATTTAATATTGATTGTTTTGCATGGTCGCATGCGGATATGATAGGTATCCCACCAGAAATGTCTGTGCACAAATTAAGCCTAGATCCTAACATCCCTCTGGTAAGGCAGAAAACACGTCCTATTGTCGAGGTCAGAAACAAATTCGTCAAAGAAGAGGTAACTTTTTTGCTTGATATTGGTTCAATCCGTGAGGTAAAGTATCCTGACTGGTTAGCTAACGTAGTAGTGGTTCGAAAGAAGAAAAACAAATTTCGCATGTGCGTGGACTATAAGTATTTAAATA